TCCCTTTAAAAAAGCTGAAAGTACTTGTCTGTTTGGTAGCAGTTCCCTCAGTCAAGGCAGTATTCCTTTGCACTCATGGCAGCATTTTTTCTGGCGAAGCACATGCCACATTGCTGTAGTACGAGGTCGCATGTTATAAGGTGCCCAAGCCGGAAAGCTATCGGGAATCATGAATGATAATAAACACTGGTTTAAAAATGCTCAACTGCCCCATCTCTCGCACAGCGTGATGTACCGCTACCACTGAGTCCTGTATTGCGAAAAAATTCTTCGAAAACATCGACTAAACACATTTTGAGGCTGCAGTTGCTTTCTTTCGAGCGAATGCACGGAGTCACTTTGAAACAGTACATCGTGAAACGGGACCTGGCCCAACCTGAGATCATAGAAATCGGTGTTGAGAACAGCTCACTTTCTGAGATTCTCATATAGATGACAGGCACCGAAGATCAAGTTGGCCTCGGCGTTGTTCGGCGACGGGAGCACTTTGTACTTTCGCTGCTTCACTAGTTCTGGTTTACAAGTCTCACTCTGGTGAAACCTGTGAACTCTTGTGAAGCTGGAGCAAGCTCGTCCAGCCACCAGGTTAAAACCTGTCAATCCTCAGAAGGCTCTCTCGATGGCTCGACATGTCGATGGGAAGAGGCAGAAGTGCAAAAATGCCCCCCCCCCCTCGCCGAACTGCCCCGTTGGCTTCTATCGAGGTAACGATGCAGCGGGCTAAAGTCGACTGAAAACTGAGGAACGCCACCTAAAGAAAGACGGATCTGATGAGCAATTTATGGAAATGAGTAGCAAATGCGGGCTCGAATGTTAGCTATCCTACCTAGCATTGTTCCTTCTTGGAGTTCTACATTTAATCTTTGAATTTTGGAACATGACATGCCGCAATTTCGTCTTTGATAGTGCTTTAGAAGCCACAATAAATGCGAGTTTGATGAGCATTAGTTCACTTGCCTTGTAAACATCATGTGCATCGATTATACCATCAAAGATTGTGTAGAGGTCGTTCAGCAAACTAACCACCTGGAATTCAAAGAGAGTTATCTTTTCCAGCAGTACTAACACAAGTATCGTTTTCTGTTATTTTTTCAACACAAAAAAGAGTTAAATTTCCTTTCTAATAGTGACTTGTATGCTCCAGCACTACCCTTCAACCAGTACCTCCCCCTCCCCGGATACAGATACCTAAATAAAAAAGGATAAAGTCTTCGCCGTTGATCAATCCTTTGTGGGATGCGGCACGCATTCTACTTCCATTCAGAATCGTAGTGGCTTATTGAATGCGATGTGGCCTATACAATGACTTGCGGGGGCCAGCCGATGTACAAGTCAGTGTTTTATCCTCCCAGACGAATCTGGTACCAATTTACCGTCCCCGGAGGGTAGAAGGCTTGGTTGGCCTGGGCGGGTGTCGACCTGGGATTCGAACCCAGGACCGCGCGAGTGGTAAGCGCGCCACTTGTCACTACACCACCTCCGCCCATGGATACAGTTACCTAAATAGCCCACTTCATTTCGAAAAATTCTTTCAACGCTTTCAACTGCAATGTGATGGGTCGCTACGCTTCCACAACCATTTATGCAGCATAGTACTGGAAAAAAAACAAGATATCTAGTTCCTCAAGGACACGTTCTCCTCGATATAAAGCTTTCCATTGATTCAGATCTTCTACAGACAGTCACATGAATTCATGATGTAGAGAATGATGCGGTAGCGCTTGATTGCGCCAACCACTCCATAGCTGACTTGAATGGCATGAAAAAGTGTTACCTGCATAGGATTACATTTAGCGGCAAGGGTTGTGAATGACACCACATCAGAGAAAAACACAGTGACACTGTCAAATGTTTCTGGTTCGACAGACTGCCCAAGCTTCAACTTTTCGGCCACTTGCCTGCAAAAAAAGAAATTGGTTACCAGGAGTGTCATGTCATGTATAAGTTCTCAATGCTCATAGAATTATGAATATTGGGATGGCCTATAAGTAATGGCGTTTTTTTAATTGAAAATTTTGTTCAAAAAGTGAAACGTTTTGCGAGCAAGTTGATATCATCTGATAGGAAACTTCTCGTACTATAAGAATATCGAAAGCTTTGGGTGAGGAAATGATTTTTGTGAATTTTTAGTCGTTGAAGTTGAAAGTTGAGTCGGCGAAAATTAGTACCTTCGACAGCTGCCTCCATTTACGTCTATTTCCACGGAAGCTTCAAAGCCCCTGGAGCAGCTCATAGATTCGCCAGGGTTTGAGTAAAGCACTGAGCAACAGATTAATATTGGGACGGCTCACAATTGATTTTGAGAAAAGCAAAACCGACAACGCTGACCTTGCAGACATCCTGTCGACCCGTACATCAATGTTTACAACATTATAAAAAATATAGATGGTTACGATAAAATTAGTCAATAATGTTTCTCCATTGTTTCTTACAACCTCCTCAGCCAGCTCAGTCAGTCACCGAGAAGGCATTGAAGCAAGCTGGCTGATTCGGTGGAGGTGTGGTGAAGAAACGAATGGAGAATATTAGTGTCAGTTCTTTGCGCGACGGTTGGGCGTGTCAATGCGGCTGCGTTTGGCGCGGTGCCAACCCGTTCTCCACCAGTTTTTAAGGCACGGTCCGCGATCAGGTATCGAAGTTGAAAGTATGGCGTCAGGAGGTTAAAGTGGTCCGTGACGAACAACCTTGTACCGGTTTCGCAGCGAAAAATTCTATGAGAGGGGCGCTGTAGCGCCATATAGCTTCAGTGGCTCCGCCTTTTTTCCAGTGACTCCGCCTCCAGACTCCGCCCCTAATGACCGAACTGAAATGAGATTGCAGGACGAAAAAGCATGATAATCGCCACTTGTACGATCGTAGAAATCTTATCGGTGAATCAGCCGTGCATATGAGGGCGTAGTTTTGGAGATAGAGTTGATTGGGCACCGCACAACTGGATTGAATGGGGTTTTGGTCCTAGAGCGGGTGGCATGTTTTTGTGCTTTTTTGTTCACAGTCGAGTTACTCAACCCCTTGTCGTCTATATGGAACCCCCTAATCCACCATCTGAGATGGCGAGTAATCGCGGGTTCTTCCTTTAAAGCGAGCTAATGATATGACTGTATCACATCAATCGTACTACTTCGTTCCTATTTCTACCACTTTTTGTCGCGCTGCGCGCTCAACAAGAGGGCAGCTGAAACAGCCTCTATACGGCGTGACACACTCATACTGCCTGCCACGCGCAACCGTCCGCAGCGAAGTAGAGTGTATATTATTGACTTTTTGATAGTAAACATCTATATTTTTTTTATGGTGTTGTAAATATTGTTTATGAAATTCATCAGAAAAACCAAGAAATCGTGAGGTATGGGTCGGTTTTGCTTTTCTCAAAATCAATTGTGAGCCGTCCTAATATTAATCTGTTACTCAATGCTTTACTCAAACCTGGCGAATCTATTGAGCTGCTCCAGGGGCTTTGAAGCTTCCGTGGAAAGCGGTAGGGAGAAGAAGTTGGGAATGCTGATTGTCATCGACCTCACATTCCGAATTAATAACCTGAAAATAATAGAAGAGTAACAGCCAGAAGAAACCTGGGAAACCAGGTCCGCAGTTTAGTATAGAGATGAAGTTCTGCTAAAATCAGAGCTATCAAAACACATTCAGCGAAACATTCAACTATTAGGCATAAAATTTTGAGTGGAAGCAGACGCGATCGACTTGTGGATCCGTCGCCGTATGAGGGTCCCCTCGCTGGAACTTCCAGCTGAACCTATTGCAAATGTATGGAGCAGCTTAAGCGATTTTAGCACTTCGAATAGACGTAAATAGAGGCAGTTGTCGAAGGTACTAATTTTCGCCGACTCAACTTTCAACTTCAACGACTAAAAAATTCACAAAAATCATTTCCTCACCCAAAGCTGTTTCGATATTCTTATAGTACGAGAAGTTTCCTATCAGATGATATCAAACTTGCTCGCAAAACTTTTCACTTTTTGAACAAAATTTCCAGTTGAAAAAAAACGCCATTTTTTATGGGCCATCCCATTCGATGGAATGCGGTTGCGGGCTCGCGCATCAGAAGAATGAAAACACTAAGGACTTCACATTAGTATCGGGATTTTTCATGCGTTTTGAGAATCTTTCTTCTGAGAGGTTGATATCATGTTTCTGCTTGCGCCATGTTGTGAAAGTATTTTCTCGCACATCTGTCGATGATTAGTTTGAGTTTGTTCACCGAATTTTTTTCTTTCCATGCGACTACACCTACATATTTGAAGGGATGATCGATGCTTATGCTGTGGCGAGCGCATGGGCAGTAGCTAGGAAGCTCTATCACATCGCCATCATCGTAGTGTCGTTCCGCTCCAGAACATTGCTCGTATTCACGCTTACACAACAATCATTCCCCCGCCCCACCCTCCCCCCTCTTTGGCGCTGGGTGAGCGAGAAGTTTCTTGGAAAATCAACCAAGTGCGGCCCGTAGAAGTTGGCTCTGGAAACTGGCATAATTGAACTAATTGATGACGTGTACTTGAATAAAAACAGTTGTTCGTTTTCCAGCTAGTCTCTGTCTCGGTACTTTTCCAGCTGGTCTCCGTCTCGGTACTCTTAGCATTGACATTTTTGACCAAAGCTCACCGACTTTTAAGGTTGAACCATCAGCACGTTAAGTTGATATTGGGGTAAGGTGGAATGAAGTTTGCTCTACAATGAAATCTCGTCTTATTGAGCTTTTGATTCTCACCTCGGTAGCATTCGATACAACAAGATATCACTCTTCTTTTGTTCCACTGCTAATTGTCCCGTTCTGTCTTCCACCTCCGCCTCCAAAGTGGAAGCATACTGCTCAAGCATATTAAAGACGTAGTCCATCAGGTTCTGATGCCTGAAAATGATTAATCATCGAATGAGCCCTGAAACGATACTAAACACAGACTGGCTAATGCAGATAGAAAATGTGTGGAGGTCAGTTAGGATAAGCGTGCAAAAAAGGACAAAAACTGCCACTGCTAATACAGGGCCTTTCGCAGCGTTGTTATGTGGCGAATAAATGCTCTCTATTCTCCTAACATAGTATTTTAAACAGGTAATATGTCCAGTCGTGTTATTTGTTCGCCATATTCAACACTCAAAAGTCTTATAACAACCTGTGAATTCCTTCGTTGCGCATTCAGGGTCAGACAGTAAAAAGTTATTTCCGGTGCGATATATGACAGGAGTAAGGTTGAGTCACAGTCATGCTCAGGGCACATCATTGGTTGGGAATCCCCAACAGGGGGTCGTATTTGGCCGCCAGGAGAGGGGGGTCGTAATGAGTGCGGTAGCCAGTAACGAGCAGCGCAAAGGTGTCAGTGTGCTGAGTCCTGTACAGCGAAACTTGCTTTGTAGAGAACTCGGATATGTAAAAAAATAGTACAAAACTTTCATTCATCAAACTAATCCGAAATAACTGGAAATATTAATAAGTCGACATCATCTCGTAAGTGACTAAACAGTACAACTCATACTCTGGTTCGCTGCGGATGATGGGGCGTGTCGCTGAAGCCAACCTGCTTTTTTTCGACAAACGACAGGACTACCATATCGCTCGTATCAGACGTTTTCCAGCAGTTGGTCTCCTTTATCGGAATCATTGGCGGAGCACGAATCTGGCGGCGTCGACAGGGACACGCTCCATCATACGCGCGGAAAACACTGTAAACAAGTGCACAGGTTCGCCATGGACCTCCCTGAATCCTATAGACACATTTGCTCGCGTGGACAGACATTACGCACAAGTTGCACCATCCCATCACTTCTGCGCGGACCTCAGTGCGCGGCGCATCCAAAGTCAGCGTGATCGGCGCTAAACGAACCATATTCTGCTCCACCACAGGATACGTTTTTCATGCGTTCCTGGTTATTCGAACACGCTCACTTGAAACGGTACACAGGAAACGGGTTTTTCGCGCAGCTGGGAGTGTTCCCCAAGAAATCCCATCGCGAGATCTCATGAATCCCGAGAACTTCAGAAACAGTTCAAGAGGTTTTTAGAAAGAGAAAATCTTCAAACACTCGAAACCGTTCTCAGATTTGTGAAATGTTGAGTTACAAAAAAATATATTGATTTAAACCTGTTCAGTTGAAATTGTTCCCCAACGAATCCTCATGGCAGATTTCTCTGTGATTTTGCGACCTTCATAAACGTTTCAGTACTTTTAGGAAGTGCAAACCTTCCTCTACACGAATACGGTCTCCTCTTCCCCACAGGTCCGCTTTTGAGGAAGTTATGGTCCTTCAAAGACCCCACTTTGCTGAAAACTCGCGTTCCACATGGCTGGTCCTGCCCAGAATCCCTCCCCCGGTACCTCGGCCTTTAATCAGCTGATTGCGGCTGGTTTGCTCTCGTTCGTATTTACTCTTTCGTGTTTATCTTCTTCTCGGTTTATTCGAATATCGAATATTTATCTTCTTCTCGGTTTACTCGAATATCGAATATTTATCTTCTTATCAGTTTACTCGAATACGCGTCAGAGCGCGCCCCAGCAATTTTGCTTGGACCGCTCAGAGTGCTTTTAGGAGAAGTTGGCTTAATTTCCTGTTTTTTTTCTTTTAATTGCAATTGATTCAGGTACCAGAGTTTGTTTTGACTCGAGGAAAGGTGGGTGAAACCTGGGGTCGTACAGGTTTGACCAAAATCCCCATCGAATGCTGTGCCCTGGTCATGCTTTTGGGGCTACATTTATACAACGTATGGAACAGCTACCAGAGAGGCTACTAGCCAGCAGCTGCTCAGCTAACTGTTCAGGTTCCACCATAGTCTCACGAATGTTCACTCCTTGAAGTTGTACACTGTCTTAAAGAAGGTTCGCACGATCAAGTGATCCGCGAAATGTCTCTGTGCCTTCAGCATCCAGATCCACTCGTGCGGAGTGTACCGCTTTCGTCACTGGAGAACTCTAAGATGAAGCGGGCATAAATGCGTGACTCTTGTAAACCGTATTCTTTTCGGTCTGCAAGACAACGAAGTATAGGGTGAATAACGCGTACGCATTTTGTTGCCTGTAGCGTCGGAGGACGATTCCATGTGCTCGTCGATGAAACTGACATACTGACTCCAGCTTGTCGACGTTTTTTGCGAACGTGCGAGTTGTTCTGCTCTCCCTGGATA